GAATGATTTGGAGTGATGGGGTTTGTCTTCCCAAGTAACTGCTATGAGTGAGGGAGAGCTGCTTCTCTGGGCACAGCTGAACACCCCCCTGAACCTGGGAATGGTGAATGAATTCCTTGTTCTGCTTTGCTTCTGCATATGGCTTCTGTCTTACTTATTAATGTGTCCTTATCTCAACTGGCAACTTTTCTCACTTTTACTCTTGTGTTTCTCTTTCCCATCCCACAGGGAGCAGGGGAGGACTGGAGCGAGTGGTTGTGTGCTGCCAGCTGGGGTTAAACCACAACAGCATTATGTAAAACATATATTATTATATTAAATTAATATGGTTATTTCTGTACAACTGACAGTGCATTTGTTATGAATACCTCACATGGACTGTGTTCTATATATGTTACATGAGTGCATAGAAGTTCATATGCAGACACTACAGCAAAAGCTTTTTATAGATATCTACAAATGTGTTTATGGAGTTGGATATTACATAAAACCACCAGCAACAGCTTCTTGGGGAACCCAGTTCTGTCACTGCATGTTAAGGAAGATCTGAAAACTGCATGGAGCTCCTCAGGAGACACCAGCTTCGTGCTGCCTCCTTCCTGCTCCCTTTTAGACATTTAGACAAGAGGTAGGGGCTCAGAGAGGGCTCTGCTGAGGCTGTGGAAATTTGAAGAGGCAGGAGAGCTAAAATGTCATCAGTCTTGAATGACACCTAAAGACAAGTCATGGGAATGAGATTTTGGAGCCAGACACCTCAGTCTCACTTATTCCTTGTGCTAGTTGTCTGCATCCATGCCCAGATCAAACCCCCAGGCCAGGAACATGACAGATAGCTTCATTACTAAATCTTCCATACATATACTGCTCCCAGGACCAGCCCCATGATTTCTTTCTAGGCTGCACTTTTCCAGCCTCTCAGATACTACTTTAGAGCCATGTTTTGAATCAAGTCTCAGTCAGCAGCTTCTTGTGGAGTTTGGTGATGTCATTGGATGAAGCATTTCTCTCCATAAATAAAGTACTACTCGTTTGTACCAAACCTCTTCATAATCACTGGAATCTGTCCCACTTGCTAATGCAGAACAGAGAGGTCTGAGTAACAAGAAAGCACTCTTAATATCACAGATTATTTCTCCATAGGGCAATTTGTCAGAAACAGTCATGAAGGTTGTGATCCACACTCACTCCTGCAAGATCACAGCAAGGCAGGGTGCAAGAGAGTAATTTCTGGAATAAGGAGCAGGAAAAGGGTGAAAAGAGCAGGATAAGCAATTCTCAGAAGCTCTTTGGAAAAATATAAACAATCTGGTAAGGGGGAGGAGGTGTGGGAGTTGAGCAGAAGAAAATTAAAAGGATAATTAGAAGAGGAAAAAAACTGCATTGCTGAGAACATTTTAGCTGGTGAAGCCAGGGATTTCAGATGAATTCACAGCAGACAGATGGTAAGAAGGGGGAAAAAACCACCAACCAACAGCACACCCTATAATCAGTTCCTTAGCATGAACATTAGGGGGATTTAGTTAGGGATAGGGAATAAGAAGCTGGCAGCCTTAAGACACAATTATTTTGTTTTGTATCTTTGTAACAGAGGAAGAGGGATCAGAGCAACTAGAAACAAAAGCCAGAGTCCTGGTTTGTTGTGGGGAGTCAGCTGGAACAATCAAATAATCCCCACCATCCACCTAGACTATATTTTAGCTGCAGTATTCACATTTCTGTGTGATTGTAGTTGGGATTCTGTTTTTTTTCTTGGGAACAAATATCTCTGGACACTTGGAAATTTAAATGATGAACAAATGGGAAAATAGACAAGTCTTTTTGCCATACCAATAATCAATGTATCCTAAAGAAGAAGAAAAAACCCATGGAATTCAAGAAAAAATTTTAACAAACTCAAACATGTCAATCCCCTATCCTCTGATAACATCAAATAACAGAAGCTATAATAAGCAAAACAGGAAAGAAGGAAAATCATCTCCCCAGTGACTAAAAAAGCACAGATCTTCCCAAGGAAAGAGGGTGAAGGACAGAGATATGAAAGCTGCTCTGACTACAATGCACCTTCATGGCATAGGGCAGAGACCAAGAAAACAAAACTGCTTTTGCTCAGCACCACAAATGCTTTTGTCTTGCTCTGGATGAAAAAATGACCCATACAAACCAGCCTGGAGGTCCCTTCACAGTATTCTCCAGAGCCCTGGATCCATGTCACAGCTCTCTGGGGCAGGTGGAGTGTTCCCATGACATATCTTTGGCATAGATGCTTGTCTTTGGGTTGTTTCTCTTTTTTTTAGTAGTTAAACCAAGGTGCTCTACGCAATACCAGCTTTCTTGAGGGATGTGCTTACAGAGGTTGATAGTAAAAGGCCTTAAAATCTTAGAAAATTCAGGGACTTAGAAAGAAAGTTAGGTTTGGAAAGCCCTGGGAAAAGCAGGCCCTGGAAATGTTAGGCCTTGTGCTTGCTAAAGACCAGGTCAAGCTGCACCTGTGTAGTCAGTATATGATAAATGATACAATTGTTAGATGTGATTAGATATAATTATTGTTTAGAGAACATGGGGAACCATGTTAGGGGGCTAAGGGGGGATTACGAGAAATTCATGCTTGGGTAAAAACAATGCATACAATAGAACAATGTAAGTTTAATAATTAATATGCAAGTTGCATAACGATAGAGTATAAAATATGTTCAACTCGAAAACCCAAATGGGGTCAGATTTGGGTACGTGTACCCCTGACACCCAGAGCTCTTTAAATAAAGCACCTTCATATAACCATTCGTGGTTATGTCTGTTCCTGAACGCTAACAAGGTGACTTGTTATTCCTGTCCAGTCCAAAGCTGGGCTCATCCTATTCCCAAGAAGAAAAGAGCTCTCATGCAGACTTGGAGAGACCCTAAAAATATGAAACATTTCATTAGAAGAACCATTTCCCACTGAAATTACTAGCAGGACTCCTATTGATTCAATTATGGGAAGAACCACAGTGTTTATAGCCCCCAAACCTGCTTATACACGAGGACATCTGACTCATGAGGATAGTAACCAGAGGCAAGCTACTCACACACTTGATTTTTCATGGAATCATAACTCTGGACAGCACAGATGAGACCAAATTGATTTTAAATAGAGAAGCACTTTTATGTAAGGCCAAAGTTTTCAGTTCATTTTGCTGATTTCAATGATAAATTAAATTTGCACTGTCACGTTAATTTGGGATGTTTTTAGCAGAGGTACTACTGAAAACAGAAGGAAACTAAGTGGGAATGAAAGAAAAAAAGCCCACAACCTTTGTGATTCCTCTCTCATGTGTCTCTCATGAAGATGATTTGATTTTGAAGCATTGTAATCTGCATGTTATCAGTTCATGCCTGGTTGGAAGCAGGTTATATTTGGTGTGGTTTGGTTTGGTTTCTTTTGTTACTGCTGCGGCACTAAAAACTGTATAAAAAAAAGCATTTTCACAAGTGGGTGTGCCACAGATGGGTGGGAGATCAGGAGGGAGCAATCCATCCTAGCCAGGGATGTCCCATATTTCCCCTCGCTCCATGTGGTGCCACCCATGAGCTGTGAACGTCTGGACACAATCCTGGCTACAAAGACCACCAACTCCAGGAGACAGCTGCAGCCCCCAGCCCTGGCCAGGGCAGCAAACAGAGACCTGGAAGCTCTCCCAAGGCCATCTTTGCAGACATATGTTGTCCATAGGTGTCCCGGAATCCCTGGGAAAGAAGCAGCTTTCCTGCCTTTCCTGCCTTCCCACTCCCTCCAGGACATCAGTTCCACCCATACAATGGGCTGCATTAAACATCATCAGCTCTGGGAAGTTTCATTTAACATCTCTGACCTAGATCATGTTCCCTCCAAATCTCTTCCTCTCCCAGCTGTTGGATACCTCCTTTCAGAAGAATCTCTAAAGAATAAAAGTCTCCATTTCACCCTGGCACAAGGCCTGGCATTGTAACAGCCATTTCCATATTTCACTTGTTTCTTCTCAGAGGCTGTGATTCCTTGATAGATCACAGCTTGCATCACTTCATCTCCCACTTAACTATTTTGATGAGGAAAATGGAACTGCTATGGTGGCAATTTAAGCGTATTAAAAGAAAAAGTTAATCCAAAATTTTGATTCGCCAAATTTAAAGTCCATTTCCATTACATTTAATAACTTCAGCCTCTCTTAGTTCATCTGTACTTATCTTTAAGTCTGCATGACTGGGTGGCATTAGAAATAAGAAGATTATTCATAGTAGGGTGCTCTGCCTATGAACTTTTTCCTAACTCTCAGTAGAGATAAAGAATATTTCCTCAACTGTATATCATTTCATAATCACGAGTGGTCGGCTCTTCTGTTCTTACAAAATCATATCTCACACCATCAGCCACAGAACTTTCCAAAAATGCCAAAAAAGAGTATAATTAATTCAAACAGAGTAATCACTAAAGTATGAGGATAGTCAGACACGTGCTTTTTCATTTCCCTCCAAGCACACATGAGTTATGGGATCCAAATCACAGCTCTAAGGGACTAGTTCATGCATTTGTGGAGAGGAGGGAACTTGCTGCATGAATTCTCACCTTCTCTCTGTAAATCCGTGCACAAAGCATTTGGGTCTGCAGGCCTGAATGGTGATGTGCCTCACCACACCATGGAGAGGCAGGCGAGGAAGGGAGCCCGAGGAAGAGCTCTGGAAGGACTGGCACGGGCATGGCTGGGAGGGAGCAGGCTGGGCGGCTTCCTCTTGGGCTGGCAGCAGGTGCTTCAATTCTGGAGGATTTAAGGAGTGACTTGGGAGGGGGAGAAAGTGAGAGAAAAACTTCCAAGCAATCCTGCAGCATCTGGTGCTTCCCGGCCCGTGGAGTCAAGGAGAGAGAGCGGAGCCCTTGGAGCCGGCGTGGGAGCAGGTGGGGGAAGGTGCTGCTGTTATTTGCAGCAGACGTTCCTTAGCAACAACCTGGAGCAGATGGAAGGCCGGGTACCACTGTGCAGAGCCTCCATCAGCAGCCCTTCAGCCTCCTCAGCCTCTCCCTGCACAGGGGGAGCTGAGGCAGCACAGCAAATCCTGCCAGAGAGCTTTTCTCCAGGCTAAAGGAAGGGGTGAGGAGATCACTTTGACTCATGCCAGTTTGAAGCCTAAAGAGATGTGAGCAAATTTCATTAAACAAGTTTGATAAATGCCAACAATATTGTTGTAATTATACAGCGGTTGTTACATATACACATATACATACAAACATATTCTGTTACTGTAACTAATCTGTCTGAAGTAAAATACAAAGTGATTGATAATCCACAGTTAAAAAGGTTATTTGAAAATGGACAGCTCACAGATGCAGGGGATTTCAGAGAAAGTCTGCATTGACAGATGGATGTATTAGCAAATTAAAGAAAACAGGAACCTTCTGTGTCATAAACTAATTAATCTTGTACATGGAGAATGTGGAGAATCATCAAAGTTGAACGTAGCTAACAGCAGAGGTGGGGCCTCCTGCAGAGAGTGTCCATAAAACTATAAAAAACCACCACCAACTTCTGCATGCCCTTTTTTCTTCAAAATCAGGTGTGAAGAATTGAGCACTCTGATATCCTCTATTGCATATTGCATATGCAAATATTGTCCTATTATTAAAGGAAAAGGAATTCTACTGTTTGTATTTGATCTGTCTACACACCCTTGAGGTTTGGCTGTAATCTGTGTGCAAAACAAGGGGGAACAAATGTACAAAGGCCATAAAATTTCATCAATAAAGAGCCATAATTGTCTTTAGGGGGAAGGACAAAACTTCTCTTTTCAGAGTTTGTACATAACAAGAAGTGTTGGTATTTCTTGCATCTTCTCAGGGATGTTTGAAACACATCTATGGCCATATTAGAATTATGTTGGTAAAACTCAGCCTTCAATTCCTCTTCTATTAATATCACCATCGGCAAAAATCTGATAGATTAATTGATTTATCTTCCTTGATTACCTTGATTAATCAGGACCTAGGTAAACCTTTTAAAGAATTAGGAATAGCTCTGTAGCCAGCAAAAGCAGATAAACACTTGATTATGTATTCTGGTGAGTCAAGCTCACCCATATGGGATCTCATCTCCATTTCCCTTCTGCTAATCTACCTCTTAGAAACATTTTAGCAATTCCTGTGGGTGATACATCAGTGAACAGAAATTGGAAAACAGCAGATGAGTCCGAACTTACTTCCATTAAAGACAATGGATGCTTATTCCATTAACACCAAGGACACTAATCTAAACAATAATGGTATTTAATATTATTTACTTGGCAATGGCTGGAAAAAAGGAGAAGAATTTTATTTTTTTTTCATACTGTAAAGTATAGATTAAAAAGAGTGCAACCAAAGCACGGCTGAAGTTTTCTGTCATCATAATTTAAGAATTGTCCAAAATTGTGCAATTTTGAGAAGACTGTTATTTTTTTCAGGCTCTTCATACGTACAGGTTTGTCTAATTCTAACCTTTCAGCCCACTTCCTTGTCCACCATGTTACCAAATTTTCTGACAATTCCCAGTTTTCTGACAGCTCACCTTCCAGATGGGACAAGATCTGAGCACGGAGCTGTGCCATGGATCCTCAAGAGCCAGAGCTCCCTATCTGACAGCTACCAGACCAGGCTTTCAGGCTTTCCAGGGTCTCCAAAGCCCCAGTCAGGGCCCGATACCCTGTCACAGACAGCTTTCAATTGCTATTTTTCCCCTTCAGAAGCAGCAAAACAAAATTTCAGAATGTCAGATCGTAGGTGACTGACTTCCCTGGCCAGACTCCTCAATCCAAAAACTGGGGGCAGAGTGAACGAGTTTTGGCACACAGGCATCATTTTGTTGTGGGTGTTGCCAGACAAGAGGTGTCTCATGGTCTCATAAGTGGTCATTTCTTAATTTCCAATTGCTGTCCTATCAGGTCCATTTCTATAACGTGGGTTGGACTACACCAGGGGGATTTGTGTCTGTGTGTGTAATTTATTTGTTTGTTTGTTTTTTCTGCCCTGTAACAGTTACAGAGATTTCACAGACTGAGTCACAGATCTCAGGTAGAATGGCCCCAGTCTGTAGCCAACAGGCACCACTGTCCCACCCCTCTGAGATGGGAGTCCCTGCACAGACCTGACTGCTGAGTCTGTGCAAACTCCCATCGAGTTCTCTCTCTGGGGACTGACAAACAGCAGCTTGAGCATCTCACTAGATATTCCTAGCTGCCTTAATGTGAAATAAATTTGATTTAAACTGATGTAGGACTGTCCAGTAGGGATTTGCAGTATTTCTGTTATGTTGATTGATATCACTCCTTCACTTAAACAATAACTGAAAGTACTGCAAGAGGGCAGGTAAGAGTAAGGTAAAGCAAAAAAAGAACAGTATTATTACTGTAGTTGTAACTTTAGAATATTTTTCAGTAATTTTCAGCATCTTTCTCCAGTCAGTAGCAGCAATTGCAAGATACCATCTTTCAGCAATCTGCTCTAGTGGAAGGTCCTTGCCCATGGCGAGGGGCTTGGAATTTGACAATCTTTCAGGTCCCTTCCAACCCAAACCGTTCTGTAATTCTATGATCTTCTCAGCCATTATGAGGCAGTAGCTCTCAAAATGAGTATGGGCAGGAACTGAGATTAGTAGGCAATCCCATACATGACATCCCTGCCTCAGAACTGCTGCCAGCATGTCCATTTTCTTTATGTTTAATTAAGTAATTTAAAATAGCTTCTCCCACTCCTTTTTACGCACAAAGCAAAAGACATTATTGATATTTCTAGTGTTGTATCCTTTATTACTTTATTCTCCATCAGGGCTGATTCTTTTACCTGCTAAGAGAGCCAACTTCACGTTTTGTAGAATATCCCTTTTTTATGCAAAGCATTAGCAAGAATGACATTTCAGCAACAATCCTGAGAAAAGGACATTGCAAAGTGTCTTCATGGTGAGATAAATCCAGTGCAGCATGAATAAAAAAATTTCCAGTGCATTTACATTCTGATTGCATACCTAGTTGGAAATCTAGATAGCTTATTTAAACCATCAATCTGCTGATTTCACTGCCATGGAAATTGGAAAGAAGTTCTGCTTTTCAGGACCTCCTGTACTGTATCTTGTAGAACAAATTTGAATGTGCCTATGACCAGAGCAGAGAAATTTGATTGTGACACTTTTTTTTATGGATTGTGTCAGTTTTCATACTACACTGACTTTTCCAGGCTTCTGCTTAACAGGTTATGTCACTTGACTGCAGAATAATTAGTTTGAAATACATAGGGTTTTTTTCTTTACTTCTGTTTGGGTTTGGATTGCTTGGGGTTTTGGTGGGTTTTGTTTGTTTTTTATTTTTTAAAAAGGTTCATATGAGCCTTTTTGTAAAGGAACCACATCTTGTATAATTTACTAAAGTCTTATTGTTAGTCTTTTAAATATAATAATTGTTATTAATGCCATTATTATTGCTACTTCTATTTTCCACTCATAAAAGTAATAACTTGGGAAACAACTCCATACTTTGTCTTGTGAAAATTCATCCTATTATAGTAATTCCATTATTCTGGCTAATCCCTAAAGACAAAGAGGAAATTTGCCTGCCAATAATGAAGATATTAAATAGCAAGTTACACATTTCTGGTGCAACCACTGGAATTGTCAGCCAAGCACCCGAGGGACATGAAAATCTTGATGCAAATTTCCCTAACCCACCCTTTGGTTTACTTTGATTTCAGTATGGTTCAGATTTATTATACAGTGACCCGGTTATTAAGGATAAACAGGTATATTGCTGAGGCTTAAAGGAACTTTATTCATTAATTAACAGAATAAACATATATGTAACTCTGATTTAGAGGAAGGAAAGACTATAATCTCAAAAATGCTGTTTAGAAAAGGCTTTCAAGGAAAATAATACCTAAGATGGAAGATGTGATTCCTGACATTTCACAGTTATTTCACTCCATTTTGGTTTTGACACTGAAAAATACCATGATATGAAACTTACTGTCTCTCATACTCCAAAGGATACTTAAAAATAGCTGTCTTTTTGTGTGTCTTCATGGAATTTCCTTCAATATACCTTTTCCCTTACTTTTAATTTTGAAAGTTGTCTAGTATTAAATATTTTAGCTGCTCTCTCTCAATCTTATTTAAATTCTCCAGGCACTTCTGAAGATCTGCTTCCTGCAGGAGTGAGAGTCAGCTTTCATGCCAGATTGCCTTACAATTCCCCAGTGACAGCTCCCTCTCTCCTTGTTTTCCCTCCTGGAATTAATGTGATGCCACCTTCATGGTACAGGGGCAGATAGCAGCCTTCCCTTAAATTCTTGTGTATCAGCATCATCTCCTGTGCGAGGTAGAGAGCAGGACCTTGGCAAAGCCAGCACAGAGGCTGGGGGATAAATCACCTCAAACTCTCCAGGCAGTTTGTGGTGCAGTCTGAAAGAACATTGCACCTAAACAAGGGTTTCTCAGCATTGGCTTTTCTGGATACCAGCAGAGCTGCAGGTCCATTCTGAGCTCTGTTCTGCCAACCCCCCATTTCTGCACCCTCATTCCCTTCCTTCAAGCAAAACCCCGTGCCCTTGTCCAAGCCTCCCACCATCAAGAGCACAAAGCTTCATGAGCATCATGCATCCATCACTCCTAACCCAATGCTTCCTCCATCTGCACTTGCATCACCAATTTGTGATTATCAATGTTAATGACCAAGCAGGTCCTTAGACAGAAGCACACATACCCTCAGCTCAGACACATCTCTGAAAAAACCACCAGGTGCAGCTGCCTTTCTCCTTTTGCATTTGCTTAAGCACTGTCAACGACATGTTCACCATGCTTGATAAACTCTGGAATAAACTATTCCAAACTTCTCCACTGCCTGTCTGTCAGTCTCTTCAGTAGCAATAAGGTCATTCTTCAAAATAAAGAAATACAAATTCTTTTTAGTAGAAGGAAATGACCTTTATTTTTTGCATGTCTAAGTAAGCTGCATTAAAATAAGATGAAGACTGTGACAGGAGATAACCAAAGATGGTAAATTTAGGCTGACACTTTGTCCTTAACTTGAACTGTTCAACAAGAAAGTGTACAGTAAAAACAAAAATTTGACCTTAAATCAGATTCTTTGGGGATATATCATTGTGCTATATGTTAATGTATTTTCAGGTACTTCTTGAGCAGCGTGCTATAGGAGACAGAATCACTGGGAAAACAGGACGGCTCTAAGACCATCACTGGGGATCTGAGTCCCCCAGGACCGGATGCTATAAAGTTAAATCACAGCAACAGAGTCCCTGCGCAGACAACTCTGAAGCTAAATGCCAGAAGGAATACAACAGATGAGTCATTCAAGCAGAGGAAGGAGGGATAAGAAGAAAAGGCTGACTGGATCTGATAACAAAAAGGATGAAGGTCATAAGAAAGAAGCTTGTGAGTCTTGACAGGGTGGTTTCTCACAAAGGTGGGAGTTATGGGAAAACCTCAGTGAGCTTGAGGAAGAGTCCAAGAGAAATATGAATGTGGGACTGTTTCTGTTACACATCTATAACAGTCTTTTGGGTGACTGTGAAGTTTTATAGTCTATCCAGTTTGAAGCTAAGTGTTCTGAGATTAAAATCATACAGCAAAACATTGTAAAATATAAAATGCAAAACCACATCAAGTTAGCCTTGGGACACTCAGGGGAAACAATTCTCACACTGAGAAATCAAGACTGCTTCCCAACCAGGCAGCCAATGAAGGCTCTACCCCAAAACTGCTTCCAGTGAAGTTGAAACTGAACACCAGGGTAGAAAAGGGAAAAACAAGAAAACAAAGGTAAAAATCCAGGTTGCAGAGTGGGTGGATGGATACTGTTAAATTCTTTGTAGGACTCGTGATGAAGATGGACTTTGAGGGTATTTAAGAAGGAAGAAGCCATGAATTTTGCCATTTGTTATGGGAAACAAATGGCATTAAGGGAGAGGGCAACCAGTGGAAGCTGTCAGCCTGTGGGTGGAGCAGAGGCAGGAGCTGACATTGTGATACTGATTGAAAGAGGCTGGGGAGATAGTTCAGCTCAGTTCATTTGGTTCAGTTCAGGCAAATAGGTGCTTTGTTTTGGTTTTCTTGTAATAAGAAAAGAGAATCCTGAGGGAAGCACAGAAAGACGTCATGGTGGGATGATGTGGTCTCAGCAGCCTGGGAGATCACTCCTGACAGCAGTGACTTACACAGAGAAGAGGAAGGTCAGCTTGTACCTGACACAGTGACAGGCAAGCTTCTTTCTTATGAAAACAAGAGCTGATCAAAACCTGGGCAAGAATGTCAGAATGGCTACAAAAGAGTTTAATTTGGGAAAAAGCAAGACCTAAATTTGAACACTACTAAGGAACTGAAAGCTCAACAGAACTGTGGGATTATCTGTAGAGGATCAGATAGGTTAAGGGGTGAACACTTGCAAGATGGGAAAGTCACTGAGGCAAGAAAAGACAGAGTAAGGAAGTGGATTAAATTTTTCTACCTTCAGATTGGTGGAAAGAACCTAAATTTAAATTACCAAATTTCTTCATGCTGTGATGAAACACAGAAAGGAAGACCCAAGTTAGTGTCATTACCAAGGAAGCTCAATTTAGCTATCATTTAGGCACCAAATAATCCATATGGAAGGGGCATGGTATGGATTCTCCATCCACAGAAACACATTTGATGAGAACAATTATGTTGACATGAGAGCCAGAGCAGATGTTTCACCACATACATTTCACTGCTCACAGCAGCTCTTACTAAAGCAATGCTCAACTACTTAAAATATTCCTCAGTTTCATTTTTGTATCGTTGCCTTTCTGATGTACATTTTATTCCTTTTAAAGCAGAAAAGTGATCTAACATAAGCACACAAAACCCCCCTGCAGCTGATGTTTCTAATCTCAGTTTTCTGTGAAGGTTGACCAGTAATCATGAGTTATTTCTGGGTTTTCCTTATTCTTCATGGCTTCAACACAGTACCACTGATGTCTTACTAACTTAATTGTGCTTTCATTCTTTATGCAGAATGAATCCTGACTGAAGAGTCAATTCACAGTTTCACATTTCAATTTCACTGGTGTAAATTCACAAAACACATCAGAATTTCCTCCCAGCATCAATAAGAAAAAATAATACTGATTGGTCCTTTAAGTTGAGTTTTTTTTCAATCCTATTTTGAACATGGTAGAAATGTTGCTCTTCTGAGTAGATAGTTTATTAAAATTGGTAGATAACTTTTTACATTTTGACAGTGTAGAAAGTTACCACCAGTTTAAAATTGTAACTGTAAACCACACCATATTGTAGATAAATTCCATTTTGAGAATTAATACATAAAGTCTTATCCAATACCTTATTTTTATTTATTTTTCCATTTTAACAAGAAAAGTCTGCCAATGGGGACTTTTTTCCATTTAGGCCCAGCTCCAGTTTCAAGGTAAGATTTCAAGGCAAGGGAAATATTGTATCACTGTGTAAAAAAAAAAAAAATACCAAAACAAAGCAGTGGTTCAGCATGACAAGACAACTTATCGGTGCCCAGCTGGGATGCAAAGAAGAAATTCAAAGCAAGCACTGGTGTCTGTAGGGTCCTGCACAGCATGACAAATGTACATAGTGATCTCAGGAGAAAGGAAGATGAGCTCAGGAGGAGTGCAGTGAGAAGAGCTCTGTCTCTGGGAGTCAGCAGCACCAGGAGCAACTGTGCTTCCAGTAAAGCTCTGCTGCCTAAAACATATTGAGCTGTTGCTAATCAATAGCAAGGAGCTATTGCTGTATATTCCACAGGAAAGGCACCACAAAAGCCTCCTATGACAGGTTCATGGCTGACAGGGGCCTTGGAGACCCTTCTGAGAGCCAGCAAGGAAGGGCAGGACTGCCAGGCTGGGATCCATCGTGCCTCCCCTGCCAAAGGGAAGCTGCATTTTCTGCAGTCTCATGGAAAATGACCCCATTTCCAGTGGAGGGATGCAGGAGGTGTTTGATGGGGGCCTGGTCCCATCCTAGGGTGACACCTGAGGAAGTTGCTGAGGGTCTTGGTGCATGGGTGGGATGTGATTTCAGTTAAAAAGGGCAGCAAGGAGTGAAGAGGAGAGAGGGACAGGGATCAGTACAGGTTGGTGTGGTTCACCTGTGCCCTTCCTCCTGGGCTATGCTGGTGCCTTGAGGTGCCTGTCACAGCCTCACAGTGCAAACAAGAGACTGGAACCGTCAGATGTTCCCTGTAAAAGGTGTCTGACACCCTCACAGGAGAATATGTACCAAGTTTCTCAGCTGATCATCAAAAGGGAAGGGTTTTAGTGCTGACTGACCCCAGGAAAGGGCAGGGGAAGTGTGAAAGGAGGTTGTACCTGGCAGATAGCTGAGGTTGTCATCCCCAGCTAAGTAGCAGGATGACATTAGCTCCTGCAATTGAATGGAGGCCTATACACAGGCATCAGAAAATAAATCAAAACCACAAACATGAAAGCTGAGAGTGTTTAATTCAGGCTTGACTTTCTTCTCTGCACCAGGACTGGGCCACTGCGAGATATAAAGAAGCATTGGCTCTATTAGGTTTGAGCTGTTTACCATATTAATCATAATCCAGATCACCTTTCAAAAAGTAAATAACGTATTTAAGATTATCAGACTCAGTTTTGAGCAACATTTTTCTTATTAAACAAGCACAGAGGACTGGCAAAAATCAATAGGAGAGTTAGAGTAGCCTCCCTGTAGAGGGTGTTTGTTATCTCCCGTAAGTCACGGTAAAAGATGACAAAGCTGCCACATCATGAGGAAAAGTAATTTTACAGGATTCAGGTGGGTTCAAGTTTCCATCTTCTCACTGTAATCCAGTGAATCATGTGTTTCCACCAGCTAAATGAATCTGCACGCCTGTCAGACACAGGTGGCCACAGAGCTCAGTGTGCTGATTTCCATTTCCTGGGCTGTCCTTCCCTAACTTTTCTCTTTAACAATAAACAATGGAATTCTGATTCTCCATAGGCAGTGCAGGTTGGTGTTGGGGTGGGTGTAACAGCCCCAGCTGCAGGTGGCTGGCTGACCACATCCATATGGGGAGAGGAGGGCATTCTCATTTTAGCTGGCAAGAGGAAATTTGAATGATGTCCAACATCCATCATCCAGGTGACACAGTTCACTTCCCTCATTGTCCTTGTCACCTCAAATAACTGCAAAGGGCCATGTAAAGTGGGTGAAATTGCTATAGTTTAGACGAAAATTATCATGTATAAGAATGTTTCCAGATAGTCTGATTTGTCTGTGCAGTTTCATAAGTGTGAAACTTTAAAAATTAAGAGCTGACATAAAGATTTTTAGGAAAGGGATGTTTTTTGTTGTTTATTTATCTGTTGCTTGTTAAGGGCGATGTTTGGTTTCTACCAAAGCAGAAGTTAATTATAAATTCTCAGTTGGTGTGTAAGAGCTATTATTCATTTGTATTATCATAAGGCATTAGATCTTGCAGCTGCAGCAGGAAGATCAGTTGGAACAAGATGAGGTAAGTAGCCATTACAGATAAATATTTGTAATGCAAAGGAAAGGTGGTAAAAGCAGAGAAGGATTTCTCAAATGGCCTGTGGTTTTAGAGCATTTTTGTTTCAGAGGAAGAACCTTTATACTTGCCCTCCAGATAGTAAATTGCTTTTAGTGGAACTTACTTGCCCATTGGTGAAACCTCTATATGTTGAGATGTTAAGGACACTGGGAACAATAATAATAATAACATTAAAAAGTAAATATGTGGGTTTGCAGTTGCACCTGTTGCAGTACCAATCTCAGACACAGAAGAAAGATACCAATTTTCCTTCTCTACTCTTCAGCTACTACCTGAGTGAACAAAACTGTTCTACCAGTGACTTTCAAACATCACAGTTTGCTTCTGTTATCCAGATTAATGGGCTATTATTTTCTGTGTTTGTCCTGCTACCTTTGTTATTTCTGACTTGAAGTGTAGCTCCTGATGATCAATAGGGCTTGTAATATGCACATACTCGCACTATTAGCAGTACTAAGTCATGCACAGGACTCACAGCTGAGAGCTCACTTTGTTAGCTCTGTTCTCCAGGCAGTTTTGTAACCTTTACCTGTCCTCTGCATATATTTTGATAACTAGTATTGAGTGACTCTCCAAAGTGAATACTGTACCCAGTATAATGAAATTAATCAATAATACCTGCTATCCTTGATATTACATTCTGGGGACATTGTATTGTACATCTCTGGAGCACAGGGTTGCTTTTACAGTGTTTTAATATTAATAGCAGGTTGAATAGAAAAACTCTTTTTGTTCCATTTTTAATGATAGAAGAATTTCTCCTCATTTGATGTAAAAGAGAACTGCACATTCCATGAAAAACAAAATTATTTGCAGGGTCTCTCTAATTCTGACGTGAAATTCTAGGTTTTGCTGCAAATTTCCTGTCAGGCCACTGCAACTGGGACAGCTTGAAATCAGGTTAAGATCATTCCAAGCCAACACCAACTTCTGGTGTCAAGGCCACAACATCTGTATAAATGTGTGGTTGGTGCACACCACAGGAAGGTTTCTCACTGCAAGAAATCCCTGCTCAAGGGAGCATGTGGGATATGTGGGAGCATATCACCTGAAAAAATCAATATGTAGAGCTGTAACCATGGGAAGGGAGCTGCCTCAGGGTCTCCTGAGACAAGGAAAGGTCTTGGCCTGAAAACATTTGCCATCTGATTAGTCAGAAAATCCCATGGGAACTACTTGAACACCCAAAACAAATCAATCTTGATACAGACATATATGATTTTTTAACAAAGACATAATTCCTGCCTCTTTTTCCTCCACAGCTTTTGATTAAGGAAGACAATGAGTCATGGTTGCCTCTTTGTAGCCCACTCTGAATTTGTCTACAACCAGAAGATGCAGACGATGCCCACTTTTCTGAGGCGTCATAAATAAGTTTCCACCTTGGGCTAAACTTCTGGCTCTGAGTCTCTCGTGAAGCATCTCTTGGGAGCTCTGCACTGGGTGGAGGGAAAGTATCCAGCTCTCCAGCTCAGCAGTCAACCATCATAATCAAGAAATCCTCACTTCCATCCCCATATTCTCTTTCTTATCCATCATATAACACCTAATTGCTGCAACAAGCCACGCTCCTGGGCAGTGGAGCCCTTTCACTGCTCAGTCCTGATTCATCTGTGGAGCAGGTCCAGTACAGAGATGCAATATGTGCATGTATTTGTACAATCAGTGGCTGGAAGGTAAGAGATACTTATGAACAGCACCAATTCATCTGTCACAGAAAATGGTAGTGATTCCTAAGCTATGCATTATTTACACATATTTAAAAACCACATGGGTTTTTTTTGTTGTTGTTGTTATTTTTTTTAAGTCAGTAATTGTGATTCTTTCCAGATAAAGAGGGAAAGGGAAAATCCAAACCTGTTTTTGGTGTACAATATGGCTATATAATTATGCTACATGTGTCTGGGATCATTCTTTGGCTCAGATTTGCCTATATCTGTACTGTTAAACTCTCCCAGCCTTGGAAACAGGGTGGGCATCCAAACTGTTTTCTGGGAATGGTCCTGGGTCTATGCTGACTCCCCAACTGTGTCCAAGATGCATTTGGGAGAGTGCCAGCTGGATGGGGCCAAAATCATAGCAGGAACCATTTAACAGGACAGTCTATCAAGTTCCCATTGCTGGGAACTTTCCCTGGTGCCATTCAATTAGCCAGAATAGATGTAGTCCAAAAGTCTAAACTAATTACCATGAAAAGAGACAGTAATTCAGTGACGGTGTTTCATGGACATATGCTGGCATCTTTGGAGCCTGGAGAGGAAATGAAAACATCTTCAGGAGAGTTTTGCCAAACGAGAGCTCCAAATGACAATTGCAATAGGGAAAAAAATATTAGGCATTGACAAACTGAGCAGAGTGAAAATCAGCAAAAGAAAAGATGAGCCCATAAGAATGGGGCACAACAAAACTGCCCTTCCCTTGCTTCCAGAGTATTTCAATAGAAAGGAAACATGGTGAAGAACAAAAGATGCAAAATACTCAATTATTTACAAAGCTGTGCTGTTTCATTTTTAAAAAAATACTCTTTAAATGCTGTGTTTGCTTTACTGGAGTGAAGAGTTACCCACAGCCCATTCCACAGGGAGAACTCAAATCAGCTTTCATTTAAACCAGGTTTCAAACTCTGGTATCCTGGACACAGGGATGTGAGGAACATTTACAAGAAACAGAAACACTTTGTCAAGAAGTTTTATCAGGACGAGCAAATGTGCCACACACATGCTGAGGCCTTGTAAAATTCAAACTTTCCCAATGAAAATGCAATTGTAAATGATAAATTCCTCCTCAGGCTGAACTGAAGAGATTGAAAAATTATATGTGTTTTAGAAATATCAGCTAGTCTTCCCCTGGCACGGATTTAAAATGGGGTAAATGAGATGAAGTAATCTAGCTGCACATGAAAGGAGACTGTACTGTGATACTTCATTTTACTACTGACCTCAGAACATTTTTTGTCAGACCTCCAGGGCTAACAAATATCTGGATCATGGGAAGCTACTGCATCAGGAAGAAGATTACAAAGGCCATTTCCAGCACTGTGGTTCTGCATAGTATCAACTACTGGATGTACTTTGAATGAAGCCTCTAAAGCTGAATAAAGAGGGTAAATTCCCTCCTTCTTTACTGGACCACCATCTGGTACGATAAATGTCTCTTCCTACTCTTGTTAAATGGAAAATATTTATCTACCAAACACCTCCAATTAAGCATGACAGTGAAAAGAGGAAAGGAAAATGTACACATAAGACACAGAAGTAGCCTGGTTGCATCTCAACAAGTTCTCCTTTATCTGGAAGAATACAAAACTTGCTCGATACCACTGCATATCAGAAATGCCTCGCTCCCACTTGTAAGACATTGTCATAACAAGATGTATCTACCCTGTTAGCTTTTACCAACTTCCATTCACTAAGTAGTGGGAGATGTATAAAGGTCAATTGGTAGCTGAGATAATTGAGTTTAATCATGAGCCACCTAAGTGAGGGAAGACATTACCACCTGGCATTATATAGTAAGCACATTAAACTGACTCTTCTCTGGCCTATAAAGGTCATTGTGCATTGTATAGCAAAGGTTGTGCTGTGAAAATGCTAATTGATTTTTAATACTGGCTGCTGACTTTCCTGTAGAGGGTGTCAAGTGCCTCTTGGGAGTACTTACTGACACTCATTCCAAAGTCAATCATCATTGTCATCCCATGCCAGCAAAAACAAATGGCTTTTTGAGGTCCTGTCCAGTAAAGCTGGGAAAGGACTAAGTGACTGTCCCTGAGTGACTGGACCACCTCTGTCCAGCTTGGGAAATATGTTTGAATCTCTCATCCTGAAAGAACAGTTATCCTGTCCTCTTGCCCATGGTATTCAGAGATGGAAAGGACAGGTTATCACCATTCACAGAACAGGTCTGAGCACCTGGTACCATGTTTACAGGAATTAATTGGTATTAATTAACAGTGATTAATTCATATTTCAGCTGACTTAACTAAGAGTTAAATAGATCGATACAGAAGACACATGACCAATCCAGAACAAGTTCTGTGGAGGACTCTGAGGTGATCAGGGCTGGAATGCCCCGGAGGAGAGGCTGAGGGATGGGCAGTGTTCAGCAGGGAGAGGAGATGGCCTTGGGGGGCTCACAGCAGCTCCCATGGCAAGGTCCTCAGGAAGATGGGGCCAGGCTTTTCCCAGTGGTGTGTGATGGGAGGATATCAGTCTCACACTGGATAGAAAGAGGTTTTTTCCCTGTGAGGATGGCCAGGCAGTGAAGAAGATTGCCCAGCTGCATTGTGCCTTCTCATCTTTAGAGCTTTTCAAGACCCAAATGGATCAAACTGAACCATGTTATAGGATCCCATAGTTTGTTTAGAGAAGGAAATTTCAGTAGAGGACTCCTGGGGTCCCATTTAACCTGAACACCAGTTGAGCCCATGAAATGGGCACATTGGTGCTGTATGCTCCATTTGTGTGAGCCATCCATGTCCATTCTCCTGAATGGACAGGTGGGAATATCCATCATTCTCCATCAATTATCCATCATTCTCCACAATCAGCACACACAGCAACCAGTATGAGCCATATGTTCTCCCAGCACAAAGCTCAGGCACTTCTGAAGGGGATTACTACTTGGTGATATTTTGCCTTCTGAAGACTATTGATGATTTTATCTGGCATCTGTAAAAATGTCCAGCATCCTGCTCCTGACCCTCATCTTCAGTGGCAAGAAATGCATTTGAATTGTACACACAGTTATGAAATGAATGCAAAAATCAAGTCTTCCTGGTGCCTGTCAGTTAGATTTAGATGCATTTCTAGGAAATACTGAAAGAAAAACAAGCTTCAGACTTGGAAAACTGTGGTTGGGAGGGCTGTGGTGTGACAGATTGCCTGGCTTACAACGGTGGGCTGCAATGACAAAGAGAATACCTGGCAAGGCATTGGCAAATTTCTGTGTCCATAATTCCCTCAGTTCTAAAATGAATTCTGGAAGGCAGATCATCATTTGTATTAGATCACTACTATGTAGGAGCAACAACAATCTGTGGCAGCAGGGAGAAATAAGTTAATAATGAAAGCACTTTAACAAAAAACAAAACACAGAAACCAACTAACAAAATGCAACCAATCAACCAAATCCCAAAAAACACCTCACTACAAAAAGTAAAACTTCCTTATTTCAGAACTGTGCATTTCTAGAAAAAAAAAAACACAAACAGATCCAGAACCTCTTTAACTGGCACTTCCAGTAGTTTAGACAACATTATTGTTTACATAGAACTTGTCACAACTTTGCTCAAATGCTCAATATT